ACCCAGAGCTCCGAGCCCACCTGTTTGCTTCAACTGTTCCCCTGCGCTCTGTTCCGCAGCAGAGACGTGGTTGACACTGTGGCTACGTCGAAAGCACTCCGAACAACGCACAAGCGCTGGAACGCGTCTTCTGAAGTACAACCGACGCTCAACATCTCGTCAAACTTCGCAGTTCAGATATGAGATGAATGTCTTTTCTTCGCGATCCAGCGGAATATGTCAAAACATCGATGGGAGGGTCATATAAAGAGAAGGACAGACGACAGATGGACACAAAGAACTGTAGAATGGAACCCTCGCAAAGCAAAACGTCCTCGAGGGAGGTCACCGACCGTGGACTGACATGTTCGCTGCACGCAAGGACCAGCTGAACTCTCAGCTGGTAACGAGTAATGGATCTCGACCTCGCGAACGTGGCCGGCCGTTAAATACCAACTCTTGAATGACGCTAGGGAGAGAGAGAGAGACAGATGGGAACAATCCGGGGCCTGCACGACGAGTGAAGACAGGCCATCTAGGTACTTAAGTAAGTATCTAGGTTATGGGGCCAAGAAGGTTCCGGGGTTTTTGCATGCGTACGGTTAGCACCAGGACATGCTTGACAGCTGATATCACTATCCTAGTTAATCAAGCCCTCTATTGCTAATAAACCTTTCGTGAGAAATGCCCGGAAACGTTTAATACCCGAATCAGAGCAGACTTAGCTGCAGGTCGTTAAGTAACTCTTTCTACGCGGTAGGCGGAAAATACTGCTCGAATGGCAAACTAAGACCTAGTGCAAAATTTGCGCCAAAGTTTGCAGCAAGATATTTTACGGTTTTATTTTTACTTTTATTGGTTATTTCAAGCTATTTCATGTAAAAGTTGGAAAAGTTTCCCTTATTGGAGTATCTCAGAATGTCCGCAAAAAGACAGAGCTCGCTGTTCTCTTTCTTCACACCGAAATCAGGAGCTGTCACGCCGTGCTCGACGCCCAAATCTTCTAAAATCAAAGAATCTGTGAAAAGAGAATCAAGAGACGATAGCGACATTGAAGAGGGTAACTATTCGCTGCTTTTCTTGCTTTTCACTATGTTTTTTCCAACGTAATTTTTCAATTCTTCTTCATTGTTGTAACACAGAATAGCTTCAAATGGATACCGTAGTAGAA